GGTTGGTAAACATCGTTTCCTAATCTATATGCTGCCATTTTGTCTTACTGACAGTGTTCTTTGCCTTACAGAAGCTTTACAGTTTCATCAGGTCCCGTTTATCAACTGTTCATCTTAGAGCATAAACCATTGTCTGTTCAGGAAATTCTCCCTGTGCCAATGTGTTTGAGGCTATTTCCCACTTTCTCTTCTATTTGATTTAGTGTGTCCAGTTTTATGTTGAATTCCTTAATCCACTTGGACTTGAGTTTTGTGCAGGGTGATAAATACAGATCTATTTTCATTTTTCTACATGCAGACATCCAATTTAGACTAGCACCATTTGTTGAAGATACTTTTTTCTCTTCCTTGTATAGTTTTGGTTTCTTTATCAAAAAATCAAGTGTCCATAGGTCTATGGGTTTATTTCTGGGTCTTCCATTTGATTCCATTGATCAGCGTGTCTGTTTCTGTACTAATATCATGCAATCTTTATCACTATTGCTCTGTAGAACTCCTTGAGATCAGGGATGGTGATATCTCCTGAAAAGTTCTTTTATTGTTCAGGATTGTTTTGGCTATCCTGGGTTTTTTATTTTTCCATATGAAGTTGAGAATCGCTCTTTCAAGGTCTATAAAAATTGTGCTGGGTTTTGGTGGGGATTGCATTGAGTTTGTAGATTGCTTTTGTAAGAGGGCCATTTACAGTATGTTTATCCTTCCTATCCATGAGCATGGAAGATTTTTCCATCTTCTGAGATCTTCAATTTCTTTCCTTCAGGGAATTGAAATTCTTGTCTTCCAGATCTCTCACTTACTTGGTTAAAGTTACACCAAATTATTTCATATTATTTGTGACTATTGTAAAGGGTATTGTTTCCCTAATTTCTTTTTTGGCCTGTTTATCATTTGTATAAAGGTGGGCTACTGGTTTCTTTCAGTTAATTTTGTATCCAGCCAGTTTGGTGAAGGTGTTTATCAGCGATTTTTGAAAGGATGTCCCAATTATATGTTTTTAAATAATTTAATTTCCTTACTTTTGTCTTCGTCCTTCTCTTCTCAGAAGTGTCAGACCTATCTGATTTTGGTTCACTATAAGTTGCACAAGTATGCACGTTGTTTTTAGCCCCATGAGAGCAGAGATAGCCACTGGGGAAACAGCCCTTTTCCTCAGAATAGATGGAAGGGCCAAGAGTCACTGGTGGAGAATGGTGTGGGAGTTGATTGATGGATGGTTTGGCTGTTAATAGGTGAGCTGAGAAGATAAGCAAAGGCTACTAGTGACTTCACTAGTCAGTGTCATTCTGCCATTCCCCCAGAGCTACAGGTCTCCACCTGCTTTCTCTGTCCTTTGAGAAGCTGACTTCATTGCTTCCTCAAAAGGGAGATTAAAAGCAAATTAGGGATGAAAGGATTTATTTGGCTTACAATTTGAAGTTAAAGTTTGTTACTGTAAGTCCAGGCAGGAATATAAACTCTCACATCTACAGTCAAAAGCTGAGAGAGGGGGCTGGAGAGATGGCTCAGTAGTTAAGAGCACTGACTGCTCTTCCAGAGGTTCTGAGTTCGATTCCCAGCAACCACATGGTGGCTCACAACCATCTGCAATGTGATCCAATGCCTTCTTCTGGTGTGTCTGAGGAAAACTACAGTGTGCTCATATACATAAAATAAATAAATAAATCTTTGCCGGGCAGTGGCGGCTCACGCCTTTAATCCCAGCACTTGGGAGGCAGAGGCAGGTGGATTTCTGAGTTCGAGGCCAGCCTGGTCTGCAGAGTGAGTTCCAGGACAGCCAGGGCTATACAGAGAAACTCTGTCTTGAAAAAAAAAAAAGCTGAGAGAGAATAAACATCGATTCTTGTTTGCTTGCTACAACCCAGGGCCTCTGGCTAGGGAATGGTGCTGCTCACAGTGGGCTGGGTCTTCCCATATCAAGTAACTGTCCCA